GCATCAGAACTCTTGTTCATTGCTGTTCTAGTTGCACGCACAAAGCAGAGTCAACAGATGTCAACAGACAACTTCCTATCTACATTCCCCATCAAGCTGGACTATATTGGGATTAAGGAAGGATTTGTTGTGGTGCTTTGCCATTTTCCAGAGTTTCCCGCCTCTGCCTGGGTCTCGTAATATCACATATATATATATATTCCGCCACATTCCGCCCTGACGGCAATTTAGCATAGCATCACCAAGTATCACCGCAAGCTGCGCTGCAGGAAATGCAATTTGCCTTGGCGGAAACATTGCAGATGCGTTCGCTTGTTAAGGTGACGACGACTTGAGGACGAGACCGAGGCTTGATATTGCAAGGGGAGCATGAAGACTTGCCACCACAGGGGCGGTGGAGATATCACACGTGTTTTTTTTAAATATTTTTTTTTTCCCTTCAATGTCTTCAGACATTGCTGCCTTTCTTGTTTTGCTGCAGGCATTCGAGCTTGCCGTTAAAGAAGACTAGTTTTTGGTGATGTCCGTGGCGGCAGCAAAGGGATGACCATGGCGGGACTTCTGAAGACTATATCCGAAACTATACCCACCAGTTCAGCGACTTGAGTGACTTGAGTGACTTGAGTGACTTGAGTTCAATGCATGAGCCAAGGCTCATGAAGGCTTTGGCACGTGCCAATAGTCAGAGTGGATTGATGCCCTACTGTCCGAGCTCATCAAAGAATGAGCTCACTCAAAGTGGCTGACAAAAGACCGTGGAATTGAGAAACATCTCTTTCAACAATGCTTCACTAAGTGGCTTTGGTGGGTGTTGAGATTGGCCTGTCTAGTATATACAGAGAGTAAGGCCAATCGAAGGATTGCAGATGCAACGATATGCAGTTTATGAAACAACTTTTATTTATGAAATGTATATGTATATATATATAAACGATGTAGAAAAAGCCGGATGTTGCTAGGCAAAGATGGAAAAGGAAAGGATTCAAAAGATGCCGGAAAAGCCGCAGGCAAAGATGGCAAAGGTCCGGGCGAGGGTGCAAAAAACATTACAAGTGAAAAAAAATGAAAACAATGTGAAAACCGGCGAACTTCAGCGTTTGCAAAGAAAACGGAAACCGGTCTTCTTTTCCGCTGTTTCTATTTTCACGTTTACCTACCCACTCGACATGGCTGGGACAATTAGATTCTGAATTTTTGGTTTGCCACAGGTGGCAAGAGTGGAAAGGGGAAGGGAAAAGTTGAGAGCAAGGCCAGCTTTGCTGCTGTACCGGTCCCATGTATCCATGGGATGTTTGACTATTGATACTTCTTTCACAGATTCCTCAACATTCAAGCGTCAAAGTAGGCATAGGCACTGCTCTGCTGATCTGAAAGGCAGCGCCCAAAATCCGACAAACTCAGCCAGCTGACGACAGTGATAGCGATGATGAAGAAGATGAAGAGGAAGAGGTGCCTAGACCGAATTTAATAAAGACATATAAAGACTCTTGATTCAGAGGATGAATCAGATTTTGATGGATCGGTCTCAGAGTCCTTCAGCATCCTTTAGCATCCTTCAGCCTTGTGTCTTATTGTCTTCTTTCGCTGCATGGCTTCGCAGAAACCCAGCCCTGCGTCATTTGACAAGAGCTGCAAACAGGTAGCGGAAGTTAATTGTTGATTTTATGTGGGCTTTTTGTTAAACCCTATGTGCTGAATTGATATGAATTCATATGAATTGGCTTCAGGATGAGCTCCCTTCTTTTGCATGACCTCACATTGCATTTGGAGTGCCATTTTCCAATCAACTGACCTACCAGGCGTACCAGGTGAGCCTTTATTTATGATATTTATGTTCGCACAAATGTTCCGAAAATCTTCCAGTTGCCAGAAGCTGCAAGGCGAGCACGGCGGTCAAGCAAAAGGATGAGGAGGAGGCGATTGGGAGGAGATGTTGCCACTGTTGGTATACATGGATGTACAGTGTATTTACCTAATTTGTAATGTTTCTTACAGATACTTACAGTAAGAATATCTATGTACTATGTACACATAATATGTATATTATACACACATACACACATACATACATACATACACACATACATACAGACATACACACACACATATACACATATATACACACATATATACATATATACATATATACCAGTACATATACATATATATAAATACATATATACATATATACATATATCCATATATACATATATACATATTTACATATATACATATATAACATATATACATATCTACATATGTACATATATACATATATAACACACACACACATATATATATACATATACATACATATATACATATATATATATGTATACATAATACTTATGGTAACTCATGGACACTTGCGTTATTTTGTCCTTTGTTTCTTTGAACCTCCTTGGGTTTTTTGATCTTTGGTGGTTCAGTTCCGATCCGGCCCCGTCCGCTTTCGTTCCCTTCCCTTCCCTCCCGCCAGTCAGTCTCTATTCTTGCGGTTCAGTTCAGGTGGTGTGGTTTCAGTTGTTTTTTCCTGTTTGTTTGCTTGCTTGCTTTGTTGAATCTAGCTCATCTATATCTATATGTGCCTGTAATCTTATCGAAACCTAAATCCATACAACCTACCTACCTACCTACCTACCTACCTAACGACCTAACTGACCTAACTACCTACCTACCTAACTACCCATAGTACCTGCTTACATACCTATCAATCCATGTGTCGAGTTCGTTTCTGAACATGTGCCGTTGCGCACATGTTTTTGTCGGCTTTTCAGCTTCGTGTATACACAGTTGAATTTTGTTCAGCTGAAGGCCATGACAGAAGAGATGAAGCAGATGGCTGCCCTTGGCCTTCCAGTGAGCTTTACAGCGAGTGAACAACAAGGCAAGATGTAAAGTCTGAAGTCTCCCTTGACTCTGCTTCCAACAGACATTAAAACAACAAGCAGTGGACTCTGGCACTGCAGTATTGCAGGTGGGAACGAGTCTGATGACGATGAGGTGGAACAGCCAAGCAAATTGTATTTTTCTGAATGTGTTTTGATGTTAATATTCTTCATTGTTCCAAAAGCCTTCCAAGGATGAGGATGAAGATGACGAGTGAAAGCTGCTCTCAATCTTTGGCACACTTGTGAAGGCTCACAATGCAGATCACGTGTGAAAGATATTGAACAGTAAACTGAAGACAGTGCATGTTGAAAGGCAGCGCATGTCACCAGAAGTCCCTCTAAGAAGTCCTTTAGACAAACAATAGTACTCTTACAGTGTTTGGAGTCGCTTTCTGGGACAATGTTTGTTTTGGCAGGTCTTGGTATTCCACGTTTTTGACGGGCTTCCTGAACCTGTGACAGCAAGCTTGAACGTGACCGCTGACCCATGCCAAAAAAATTGGGTGCTTTTGCGAATTCTGTGGTCATGTCGATACACTTCATCCATGTCACCTTTCTTAAGGTGTCAGCCAAGTGAGTCTGTTGGCACTTGTAGCAGAGGAATAGCTTCTGCAGCATTTTGCACGTTTTGGCACGCTTGGTTCCAGGCAGCACGGGAAACCCTGACCTTGTGCTGTACACACTGTACCCGCATAGATATCATAGATGACAAAACATCTGGCATTAGTCATCTCTGTGTAGCTTGCCACTCCTGGACGAATCCGCAATACATCGCAATACAGCTGCATACAGACACTTCTTACCGTTCGCAAGATCAAACGGCCAAAGCTGATGATGTTTCCTTCGTTCTGACAATCTGTTTGTAAACACAGTAAACAGTATAACAATACAGTACTGTACATAATACAGTACATGACAATTGATAATACATAATTACATTATATATATATGTATTATATGTAATAGCCGAATGCTTTTGAGCTCTCAAATACAGGTCCCTGTACCTCATGTTCAATAACAAGGCAGCAGCGTCTGCAATGTCTGTCAGTGTCCCAACGACATAGGACATGGCATGGCATACCAGACTTCTATGGGGATCCGCACTGATCGCCGTGCAGGTGCTGCTTTCAGTAACACGGGTGCAGGTCTTGTGATTGAATCCGAAAGGAAGAATTAAAATAGAATAAAAGAAGATGTAGAAGAGATGTAGAAGAGTCCGGGTATTTTGAGATGGGCCAGGTGCACTTGCTGGCTACAGAGGCCAAGTGATCCTTCGTCCATGCACTCTTTTACTTTTTGTTTGCTGTTTCCGTCACGCCCAAATACCTGTAGCTTCTAACCTAAACACTGTTGGAATCAAGGATGATATCAATATATATATATATACATATCAATATATATATATATAAGAGGGGATTGCTAGACTTATTTTCACGCTTGGCTTTCTCGCACTGTTTCGCAGCGGTCATTTTTTGCTCAGCACGTGTGAAGGCCGTCGCCTGCGATGATGGAGACTCACTTGTACTTCTGCAGGGCAAGGCAGCCTGTGTGTCAGTTGCGTATCAGATTCAGGAGAAGTCAAGGTCAAAGAAAAATTGCTCAGAGATGTATATAGAGTGACTGACATGATGCAAAGCTACCCGAAGGCACGAACGCAATCAAAATCCACGTTTGCGACAGTCCACATCTTAAATCTGCTTCGCAAGCTGACCTTATTGTAGATACTCATAGAAGATTGTAGCAGACTAGAAGAATTGTTCTTGGGCTGCACGCGAACTTTCGGTTTGCGGGTACAAGATGCGAACTACTTGAACTATTTGGAGCTACTTCTGTGTGTGGTTGAAAAAGCACGCCGTGCAAGCCCAACACCTGCCGATTGTATCCGATTGTCAGGGTGTGATCGATGAAGAAGAAGGCACTCTTGCGATAACAGCAATGGAACGAGCACGCCACCATTTGGGCAAGGCCTGGCAATGCGATTCCATCGTGGAAGTGTTTGCTCAGTTTTGCTCAAGTGCGCTATAGCATGGCAGAGATTGTTCTGCTGCGACATAATTATACGAAATGATGATAAGACGATCTAAGGAGATGAGAGATGAAATAAGGATAAATAAGGAGCATGTCCGGTATTGTCTGCTCTTGTTTGCTTGATGTTTGAGGTGTTCCTTTGGGTTCTAGTGGCGTTTCAAAACATGCAACAGGTCCGTGAGATGAATGTCCATGGAGCCACTGGTGTGGGTATACTTGAAGAGCAACATGCACACTACTTGGTGGCAGCTGGGAACCCAGGGAATTGTCGAGAGATGCCAAGAGATGCCAAGACTACAAAGATGGGCAGATGTGAGTTTGGCAAGCAGAAGGCTGCAAGACAAAGAAACGTGCTGCTTTGTCAAACAGCGTTAATTATATATACTGTAAATATATGTTTATATATATATGATATATACAGATATACATATACAATCATATACACAATATATGGGATAGGCCAAGCAAAATTTGTTACAATGAACGATCTTATATAAAAACGACCGAAGGTGGCGTAGGAGGCTGCGCACCAGGTATATATATATACACACACTTTTTTAGATCTACCTTTGGAATTGCTCTTGTTGGCACATTTCTGCCAGCTGAGGATATGAAAGAACCACAAGTGCCACAGATCCTTCGAAACTGGAAGAAAGAGTTGGTGCCTCAGTCTCTCAAAGCGCTCGGGCGCGTTAATTTCCTTACAGAAGCAACAAACATAGCAGCAGGTAGAAGAATAATAACTGATATTGACCCAGAACACTCAGAAGGGTTTGCCGCAGATGGCAGTTCGAAACTGAAGTTCGCAACTTGAGCAGATGTGCAGATGTGTGCTTGCCTGCGAGGCTAGTGCGGCTTAGCCACAAGCCATGGGTTCTTGCTCTGAAGGTGTTCACCGGTGGTCACCTGAAAGAACAGTGGCGCTATATTTCAATCTATTTGATGTGAATATGACGCCGCATAATACACAAAGAACTACGCACTTAGCTTAGCAGCGGTTGCATAGATCTATGATGTTTGTTTTTCGAGCCATTTCTTGGTATAGTTGGCAGATTTAATCTTCACCTTGTGTTGAGCTTTTCAAACTCTGGTGTTCAGGAGCAGGTTCTGCAAATTGGAATGAGCACAGCTCAGCAGGCATTGAAGGCAGGCAAGCAAGACCCAAGTTCTTATGTGTTCTCGGGGAAGAGAATGAAAAAGAATGAACGAGTTTGAGATTTGTTTGTGGTTTTGTTCTTCATCAAGGTCCATGATGTCCATGACTGTAGGCAAAGGCCGAGGCGGGAAGCCTTAGACTATTTGCAGTCGGACTTTGGGCTTCCCAAGCCAGCTGCTTTCAAAATGAGTTGCGTGAGAAGGACTTCTTGCATCAGCTCTGAGGTGCAAAGGTTGCTTGATAAGTCTTTGCGAATCTTTGCGAACCTTTGCGAACTGAGTTCTTCAAGCCCAGTTCTGTAGAGTAGTGGCTTGAGTAGTGTTCAAGAGTCTTGCCTGCGACAGCATCTTCAGGAGAAACAAACAAGGTAAACAAGCCCAGCACAGCGATTTACCTTTGGTCAAAATGGGCAAAGCTTGGACACCAATCTGAAAAGATGGAGTAAGACGATCGAAGATCACGTACCTTGTACATAGACTCATCGTGGTTCACCTGTCGCTGAAAGAAGGAAAACGGTGCGCGCTGAAAGCTTGTTGCCCATGTACGGATCAGTTGGTCAGCGCAAAGGCCAAGATGAATTGTTATTTCATTTGGAAAAGCCACTTTCAGATCAGGTGTTGGACAGTTTGCTTTAAACACTGATACATGAAATCAAAGAGTTTTGCTGGATTAGTGCTACTCTGGTGCAAATTAAATCCTCCTCTCTTACCATACTCTTCAGGGAAGGTAGAAGGCGCACTGAGTGCTGCTGTACATACGGAACTGTTTACATCACTTTCTATCCTCTTGACTTGTAGAACGTGCCACCTGCCTGTGCAATGTCTGCCCAACAGATTCAGGTGCTGTGGCATCACTTTGTACTCACTGCACAAGAATCACGATAGAGAGAGAGAGAGAGATATGGCTTGGTGTGGAGATATGTGCAGATATATGCAGACACCCAACTGATGCTTTTGGTCCATCTTTCTACTTTGATGTATTTTGATGTATTTGATTGATTTTGATTGATGGGACGATTGTCATCAATTCTCATCTTCTCCGGCTTCCTCTCAGTACAGGAGCTCTTCAAGAAATTTGATAAGGATGGAAATGGCAGGCCACTTGCCAGAGCCGGAGTCACGTGTGTCACTGATCGTTTCAACAGTTGAACAGATTGATTGAACTTATGTTGTTTCAACAACCTATCCCCAAAAATGAAAACACATTTAAACGCGAGTTTTATGATGTTCGATGAGTTCCAAAGGAGTTGATATGAGTTGATGGTGCTTATGGCGCTTACTGATATCGGTAAAGAGTTACATATTCTATTATCATAATATATATATATATAATATTAATATATGTTGTTTCAAGGATGATGCGGAGGATCTCCATGCCCTCTCGCCATCAGGATCTCCGTTTCCGAACTGCAGAGTGTCCTGCAGTGGATCAACAAAGACATTACGATCGCCGAGATCGGCAAAATCCTTCGTGAGGTGGACACCAACAACGATGGTGCCACAGTTGAGAATTATGCGCAAACACGGATAGATCATCTGAGAAATACAGTATGCATACATTGGCATACATGATCAAAGCATATCAAAGCGAGTTTACAAGAAAAATATGGTGCTTTGGACATTCACAATCACCGCAAACCACTATCTCACAACTCACTTCCACCACAGGTCACGACACTATCTGACAACGCCCTTTCACCACAGGTCACCACACTATCTCACAACTCACTTTTACCACATCACCAAGTTTTGCACAAAAGATTGATTGTCACGACTTCAACTTGAACTTTTTGAAGGAAGTCTCGCGCGAACTGCATTTTTCAAAGAAAGTGGACGTTCGAAACAGTACGTTTTGCAATAGAAAACGCACCTCTGGAAGATGGATGGGCAAGGTCTGCTGTGCGACAGAAAAGAAGGCTCTGATCATTCTCGCATCGGTCGCGCAGTGGACCTGTGGCTTCAATGGTTCTGCCGCATTTGCTTGCAATTGTAGTTCTAGGGTGTTTTGCAACCATGCTTGCAAATCGCATATGTAGGAGAAGCTGCGTCCAGGTGCTGCTTGTCTTGTGCTTTGCAATCCAGTGTTTGCTCTTAGCAGTCGACTTGCTGCATCAAAGTGACTATGGAAATATTTGCGCGCTCGTGTTTTTGTGCCTTTACAATCTACTGGTTGCTCAGTGCGGTCGAAAGAGCCGACATGAAAAAGAGATGTCAAGGGCAAGAGATGTATAGAGATGTGAAGAGAAGGACTTGAAGAAAGAAAGAAAAGAGAGCAGAAAGAGATGCCGCGGGAAAGAGATGTCACGAGCAAGAGAAGGCAAGAGAAGGAGATGCGCAACGGTCAAGTTGAGAGGCCGTTTTTCAACACGCAGTGGTCTGCACACATCCTATAGGATCTCTATATATATATGTATATACATATAGGCACATAGTTTCTTTTGCAATATAGGTCTTTCTCTTGAAACTTCCGCCCCTGGCTTGACCGGGTACTGATTACTTTCATGATCTTGCACGCATTTGTAAACTGAATAAATTCAATATATATACATGCTTTGCATATGATGCGATTTTAACATGCACTTTCAATCCAACCCTAAGATGTGCCTGGTTCGTCATGATTGATGCCACGGCATTCCCTCAATTCATTTTTCACTGAAGAAAAGCGTTGCTTTGACTCTGACTTCTACTTCTACTTCTACTACGCACTGACGGCATCCTGTTGCTTCGATTCAACTTCAACTTCATGCCAAGGTGCGATCGACTACAATGAATTTGTTGCTTGGACACAGGGAGGAAAGAAGACCTTGGCTGGCAAGAACAAAAAGGCAAATGCTCTCGTTCCTGATCTCCAGGCATCACATTTGCGGCTTGGGTATTTTCGTGCCCACTTCCTGACTCTTTGGTGTGTGGGATGAACAGCTTGCATTTGGATGCCAGTGCTGACTGTTTCATACTCGATTGTACCTGCTTGAAGCTGTTTACAATTCAATTTCTTTTCTTCAGATCAAGTGAATATTTCTTCATTCCCAGACTGCTCGGATTAGCAGCGATATTGGCTGGGTTGGTCAGCAATATGGGTTTGTGCGAAAGTTTGAGAACTGCCCGGGGATGCGCCTAAACATAACCATTGAATGGGTGATATATGGTATATAATCATATTTCGGGGTATGCCCATTTTCCGCTGTCTGGATAAACATTATTCATTGCTTCCATCAATACTTCTCTAAGGAGGTTCTGCTACTCCGAGTAGGGGATATTCGCCTGTGATCTCGAAAACTAGTAACTAGATGTAATTAGCATTAGCCGACTGAAGTTGCTCTTCGGTTTACGCGGGATAAGGCAGGCACTGACATCACGAATCGCAGGGTAAAACCACATAAAGGGGGGGGTCCCTCCCGGTCCCTGGCAAGGTCTTGTATTCGAATGTCCGCGGGCCATAGTTAGGTTCGATCCTTGAGCTCTAGCTTCACATGATAATATCTGAATACATCAATACACTATCAATACTTGTTTTATCTTGTTTTACTCTCCAAACACAGATTTCCAGGCAAAACCCTACCTGCACCTGGAAACATTTTTTTCCGGGTCAGCGCCTTACTTGTACACAAAGGATCTTGTCGCATGTTGCCTCAGTACACACAGCTTTGCATCAACACACAGGGGTGGGGTGGGTTTGGGCGGGATGGGGCCGATGACGTGGGGTTGGGTTGATTGGGATGATTGGGGTTGTGGGTGGGGCCAAGACGTATGGGGCGGGGCTGGGGTGGGGCCGAGGACGTATGTGCAAGGAATGGGTGGATGAGTGGGTTGGGTGGGTTGGGTGGGTGCGTGGCTGGGTGGGTGGGTTGGTCGGTTGGCTGGTTGATTGATTGATTGTGTGGTTGATTGATTGACGTGGTCATGACACACTGCTCCCTGTATCAAATTTAGGAAACATTTTGAGTTTGAAACTGTTGTCAGGCAGCCTTGCAAAGAAGTGAAGAAGAAGCTGCGGCTCTTGCGTCCATGCCTCTTGAGGCCGTGATGAGCGTGTCGTACATGGGCGACTCAACTGCATCATGGTTTGCCATGTTTGTCTGTGAGCTGCTGGCAAAACGTGACTACAAAGTGATCCTATGTGATCATTGCATGTCGCAAGCCTGTGTAGTGAGTGTAGTGTATAATATAAGGTACTCATGGAGGGTGACAAAACAAACGACCAAATGTAAATTTTAAACCGTGACGGTTTTGTCCCAATGACTTGATATGGTTGGTTCGCCACCAGGAGGGTGCTATGTATTCGTACAACGTTACTCAATTTGTACCATCCGCACCAAGGACTTTAGGCCAATCCCATGGTATCCCATGGTCTTACCTTGTCTTGCACATTTCCAGTAGACTTCTTTCTTGGATCGTTCCCTTGGTTTCAGTGAGACAAATGGGCCCCTAGACATGTCCTATACATGTCCTCAATAGGTGTGAAGTGAAGACGGCGCGCTGCCAAACGTTCTGAAATTGGCTCCCTGAGGAGAAATCAAACAATTTGACAAAAGCGGCAAAGTACTTGAAGCAATCGGAGTGAGAACCCCAAACAATCAAAGTAACTTGGCTTGATCATTAGCTTCTTCGTTTCTGTGCTGTTTCTTGCTTACTCTGCCTGCCATTGTCCAAGCATGTCCAAGCTAGAAGCATTATCATGAGGATTCACCAGTGTTGAAGATGCACTGCTCTCAGCTCTCAGACTCAAAAGTGATTAATTGTGAACTGCAACAATGCGCAACCTGAAAGGTTCAATTCTCGAGCTAAATCCTCAGAGCCATCAGAGCTAAGGACATCAAGCTACTGGAGAAGATTAAGGCCCAGTTCCCAGCCATCAGAGTTGACTCTGAGTTGACACTTATGATATCTTGATCAGATTTGATCAGTCAGACCGAGGATCCGCACCAGTTGAACCTCAATTGCTTCTCCGTTGACTGGGGGTCTAGGCCACTGGCAACAAGACTTTGCTGATCTTTGCTGCAGTGCATGATGGAAATCATACATCATGATATCATCATGATTACACCATGATTGGCATTGAGAAGCTTCTAGTCACTGCAGGAATGTGGTCACTGGTTCAGCGGATCACACTTTGAAGCTTTGGAATTTCTACGGCAACGTCCTTCGGACATATACTGGACACAGCTCGGAAGTTCTGCACCTTGGCATGAAGAGAATCTGTTTCGAATCTTTTGATCTGGGTCTGGGTGTTCCATTTCGTTTGACCCATACTGTGCTGCTATACGTTGCCACAGGTTGCTACATGTGTTCAAACAAAACAAGTTGTTGGTGTTGGGAGATGTCGACAAGCAGTCGCAAGCCACCGCATTAGCACGCACTGCAAGTTCTCCTGCACACACAAACACACATAATTTGGCCAGGGTTCAGATTATGTTCAAGAGTGATTGATATTGATATACCGCGTAAGCATAGACACAGCTTCGGACACAACCGAAAACAGTCTTTCAGGATGCTAAACGCATGCATTTGACACCAAAGTCACCAAAGTTGATGATGCCGTGGCGAACAACGATGCAGACGTGAAATTATTATGATTCACAAATCAAGCCTGTCTAACAGTGGGAGAGATATTTGACCAACTCCAACCTGAACAAACAGCGTCAATTCGAAGCTTGTTGAAGGCAATCGCATTAATTAACTAACTCTTTAATCATGCACCATCAATCACCCAATCACAAGTTCACTGTACTCTGCGTTCTCTCACGCATTCTGGCAACCCCGCATTTTGAATTTCGAACTTGTTTAGGCTTTGCTTGATGTGCTAAATGCGACAGGTGTGTTGCAGTGGACTGGAGGAGCCATCGCATGCTCAGTGGCAGCTTGGGTTCTGATTTGAAACTGTGGAGACTCGATAGTTCCAGCGCCGTCAGAACTGTAACAGGTTCGTGTGCCTGGGCTGCAATAGAAACCGGAAAGCCTCCAGAGACATTCGCATTTTTATGCATTTTTTCCATTCGTTTTCATCCTCAGGCACCTGGTTGTGTAATCTTGGCAGTCTTGCACACGCTATCCACGACACATCCAAATTGAAGACGTGTTTTTTTTGGCAGGTACAGGTGGCATCAGCTGCGTGAGTGTCAACTGGAAGATGCACAGCGCAATCTGCGGATGTGGCAATCTTCTGGAAGTGCTACCAGTCCAAATGTTGATGCTACAATCAGAACTGTGGAGTATTTGCCCACGAGTGCCATCAAATGCTGCTCATGCATCCTCACCTTTTTGCATACCCCTCTGTCAGCCACTAAACATGGCCAAGACTCAAGAATGTAAGTTGGTTTTGAGGATTCCATACCATTGCTATATTTTCTCGCATCTCTTGAAAGAAAGACATTGAGGGAAGCAAATGTCAAAAAGCGCCGCGTTTTTTTGCCCTGCTGAGGGTTTTTAGCTTGGTACAGTCATGTACAGTCCATGTGCTTGATGACGGGTGGTGACTAAATTTGCTGCACGACAATCTTCCAAGTCCAGTGGGTACCGCTGAGGTGGGACATGTCATCCATGAGTGAGGAGGCAGACACTCCTGAACGTCTGCACATTCTCCGGGGTCACACTGGACAAGTCACTGCAGTTCACACCGAATGGTCTGAGAGCATGTTGCTGTCTGCTTCCATGGCCCATGCCTTATGCCCACGTGGCCCGCACAGATTTGTTTCAAGATACCGCAGATGATACAAGGCGTGATAGGTGTGACAGATTGCCAGCACAGGTGTTTGCGTCAATTGTAGTCTTTGCAAACAACATTGCCTCAAGCCTCACGAAATTGGGGATTCAAATAGGCAGATCTGATCTGAACATATCTGAACAACCTCCAACAACGCCAGAATTTCCACGTGGGCCTGTGCGAAATTCGCTTGCTTCCTCTTGTCGGCTCAGGATAGCACATTACGGCGCTGGGATTTCAAGGAGGGCACTCTGCTTCAGACCTTTCCAGTGTTGAGTGCTGAAATCAGGCCGCAGATTTAAATCGAATCGTCTGAGATTCTATGCCATCCAAAGGCAAAGGCACGATACATATTTGGAATTTTATAATATACATATGTAATATACACATATAATATTAATATACATAATATAAATGGATTTGATGTCATAGGAAGGGATCACAACCAAAGACAGTTTCTGGTATTTATGCAAGTCACGGTCCGACACCATTGGTCATGGAGTCATGGAGTGAATCATCACATGTTTTGATATTTTTTGGCATCAAATCATCATGACACACACAGGGGCGAAGGTATGAGGCAGAGAGTTGAGGAGAACATGTGTATTGTGTCAAATTCACGGCAGTTGACCAACTGTAGCTGCATTCTTTGGAGTACTTGTAGATAGCTTTTCCAGCATGTGTATGCCGTGTATGCCGTGTATGCCGTGTATGCCGTGTATGCCTGGTGCGTTGAGTTGGTGTGCTTGTCCGAAAGGTGCATGGCCTACATTTCCGAGACATCGGTGTGTACTGGAGATGATCGTGGCAACATCCAAGTGTGGGACACTACTGCTGGAACTGTTCAGCGGGTTTTGACTGCACACAAGGACTGTTTGTTTCAGCGATGTTGCCAACGTTATTGACATTCAGGGACATCTGCACATTGACATGTTAAGGAAAATCACGATGTTTCTCTTTTCTGAGCAAAGCTTACGGGCCTTGATGTTCGTGCCAGATCTCCAGGCATTTTCAAGGACATGGACACAATGCATTGCTAAAACGACGAGCACAAGACGTTCTGTCCTTTCTAATATTTGTCCTGCCTTAGAGAGAGAAGACAGCAGCTTGCAAAAATCGATACAAATTGGCCTTCCCAGGATGGAGTCTCTTGCTTTTCCCAGGTGCATGGAGGCTCGCATGTCCAGAAGAAGTGCCTTCACTATCAGCTGTATTTGAAGTACTGTGCACTGTGCACTTTTAGAGAATTGATCAAGCACTTCAACGATATTTTCCTCACGCAGCACACGAACATGAACGTCCAGTGAACTGTCACCTTGAGCATGAGCAATATCTAGAGCCAAGACCAGATTGTCAGGCCATGTTGTCAGCGGAGGGCGAGATGGGAAGCTCATGTATTGGCGCCTGTCAGACGGACTGTGTTTGCAGACCGTGGAAGTTGCGGAAATCACAGCAGGCTTCAGAAGAGATGTTGCATGACTTGTATGTCCTTAATTGATCTTAATTGTAGTTCTAGTTTGCAAAGCTGACGAAGAAGCTGCCTCTCTCGGGTGTCCTCGTATGTCCGTGTTGATTTTCAAAGCCAAACTTGACAATTTTTGATATGCAGTGGTCCTTCTGTGTCAAAGTCATGGGTGTTCAGGTGTGTGGGTTGTTGGCATTGCAGCCCTGCCAGAGCGCAACGCGGATGACCGGCGTAAGGCCCATCGAACGCAATCCTTGAGCATTTGTTTTTCAGAGAACAAGTTTTAAGATTCAAGATCTAACTTAGCAAATTTTGATAAACTTTGCGTCATGTCTACAACAACATACAACAACTCTATGCCCGAAATCATCCTTGCCACTCCCGCAAGGTAATGGCCATGTCCCACCACCGAACCTCGCTTGGTGAGAGGTGAATGGAATTTGCAGTTCAGCCTGTGGTCTTAGACGTCACAGTTGTGGCAGGCATGGCTCAGGTTGAACAGCCGGAAATAGCATGAAATAGCCAGATATTTGATGTGTGTGTGTAGATTTGTACAGTATTCAGCTATATTCAGTTGATCTCGATGATCTGGATTGCTCCAGTCATGTCCAGTCAGCCTTCTCAAAGGCTAGAAGCAGACTCTGGCAGCCACTCAAAGGGTGGCTTCCAAGACGGTTGCCAAAGCATGCAGCCATGTTGCAGCGAGTCCTTGGCTGGCGCAGTCAAGAGCACAGGGCCACCAAAATAAAAAAGTTGCAAAACTGGACAGATGCGTTAATTGTAATACATTGCAATGCGTTGTAATTGTATGTAATTGTGTTTTGTATGTATACGACTTGGGCGATAGCACTAGTAGCAGAAATGATGTCCACGCGTCACAATGATGGGAAGCAGTCTACTGGAATGAACAAGAAGAAATGATCTTCAAATTCGAACTGCTGCACTGGTCACTTCGAGGGTCTTATAGTCTTCTTTTTCTGTGCCAAAATTTCTAGGACAGGTAGGGGAATTAGGATCAAACTTCTGTCGAAGGCTGCAACCAAGAATGGTTTCCGCGCACTGCGCCACCGCTTTTGCTTGGCAGGTATCAGATGGTGTCAGCTTGAAGTGTTTGATATGGGAGACCTTTTTCAAAGCTCGACATGTCAATCCGCAAACAAATCAGCATGGACCGCTGCTTCGCACCCAACGAATCATTAGAAACCTCCGGGAAAACGTCAACGGACGAGCCATTGTAGAAAAGTGTCTTCGGGGCCCCCGTGAGCAAGAACATGTTTGAGGCAATTGCCCACTACTGATTTGCTGGCTCGAAGCAGCATTGCAACCAATCAGGTGCCGCCACTGCCACTGCTATGCCTGAGACATGAGGCACGAAGAATGAAATGATCCAAGCACTGCCCTTGTAGCACACTGCTTTGGGTTGCCTCCGAAGAGCTCACAAGTGCTGTGCCTGCTCACATATAAGGAATCGCCCAGGAGTACTTGCAGGAAGTTTTGCGCCAGCCACCACACTTGAGCAAGCTTGGACAAGCCGAATCCCCCATAACGCACTCGCCATACATCGCCAGACATCGCCGGACGACGTTTGGAAGCAATGCAACTGCCACGATTTGCCACGCAGATCGCACATTTTGACCAACTGAACGAAGCTTCTAAGATCATCTAAGCAAATTTCACACGCGGAGAGGCAAACGCAAAGCAAATTTGCTGCGCTGGTCCGAACGGGAATCATTACGAATTATTCGCCAAGCCGCAGCAGATAACACGGCTCCAACATTTAGGTTGATACGTGGGAACCTTTCTACGGAATCCATGAAATGAAAAAAACATAGAAAACATATGAAAGAGATTGAAAGAGTATAAAGCATATTAAAGCATAAAAACCATGTGCAACAACTTGATTCAAACATTCAGGGAAAACCGGGATAAAACCAATTGGCGCAAAGATTTGCGGTGCTGATGACAGAGCGGGTGCGGTCTTCGTGGACGAAGGTGCAGATGGCTTTGGTCAATCAACTCCAAAAAATACAATGGTACTGGTATGGTTTGAGATAGGTAAAGATGAGGTATACTGTAACATACTCTGACGTATCATCACTTATCCTCAAACGGGGCCATTCTAAAACCCTTGCAAGGTTGCAAGTTTTCCTACAAAAGATGTAATTGATTGTCATGATTTGTCAGGGTTGCGAATGTTAGAACCATGAATAATCTGTTGTCGCGACAACCAACTAGAACAGAGTAAATAATTCGCAGAATAGCGAGCGTATTCTAGCGGAATATTTCAAGTGTCTTCTAGTGCGACTCTCAGAGCGTAGCCCACTGATGCACGCTAAATGAAAACATATGAAAACAGACAGTCTCATCTTGTTTCAGCACCGGGCCCTCGCAGAAGGATCGCAAGTTGGCAAATGACGGGGTCTTTGGGCAAGAACCGACAACGGCGCAGCCAGCGGTCACAATGGTCGCAATGAAATGCATTCAAATTTGACGTAGACGTATTTCAATCTCAAGCATTTTCCATCATTTTCAAGTGACGACACACGAGTACCAAAACCTCGCACCTTTAGAAATTTCAAACCGTATATACGTATATCAAATATTTGTATTTGTATAATTGCGTTGCCAGTCAGTTTTTCGTGTCCAAGGTCGCGGGTACACTCCTTATACCGTATCAAAGACAGGTTTATGTAAACGGTAACGTCATTTAGATATGTGGAGGGAGGGCCATACCACAAGGCCCCGGAGGTAGTATGAAACACCAGTTCCATCCGTATATTTAAAATGTATATTTACACCGTAAATAAATTGAATTCCGTATGTTCAAATGGCCTGGCGGGCCAAGAAAAACTTACCCGGAGGTAGTCTAAGATAATCTAAAATACCAGTTCGTACATCTAAAAATCCGTATATTCAGATGTAGTTACCGAAGTGTGAAGCTTCTCATGTTTTTCCGAGCCAGGGAAATAAATGCCCGATTCAAGGTAGTATGCACACAGAAACCAAAAGACCGCTCCAGTCCCAGTCATTCCAGACATTTCTTGGCATTTTGCAGTTGCGACACAATGGGGCAATCCTGTTCGGCGTCAAACATTGATAATTACGCACGATGGAAACAATGCACAACGCCCTCTTGCCTAAATGTTGCGCAAATGTTGTGAACAGCCTTATGGTCAGTCGCCTTCGATTTCGTCATGCTCGGGAACATGTGACTTGGTTTCGTTTGAAAAAACCATTTGTACAATTTTGCCGATAACAATTTTCGTTGTAGCTTGCAAATTTGTCCTCACTGACTCGGACGGGCGAAAGAAAGAAAGAAATGCCATTGCCATCCGAAGCCCCAAAAATGCCATAGGGCGCTGCTTCCACCAATTGTCATGTTGATCCATGACCGGCTTCCATGCAGAACCTTTACAAAGAAACTGTGGAATCAGGAAAACAGCGGATGCAAGGCACGGAAAACAAAATCCGGTACGTCCCTGATGGCAACACTTTTGTTGAATTTCGTTGTTGTGAAGAACACCTGGTGCCATGGGTGCCGATGTCATTGCTATGGCCATCGACTGTCCGGATGATGGTCCAAAAAAATTGCCAACTATATCCATCAGTGGAGTTGACATGGAGAGTTCTGAAACCAGAGGGAGGAAACCAACCAGTGGATGCAAGGCAGCCAAAATAGACGCTGATGTATTTCCGCAGTGGAAAACAAGTGGAACCGCAAGCGATGATTGCCAAAAAAAAGCCGTGCGTTCCACCTATACCGAGGCAGATTCGGACTTGACATACTCGGACTTGACAAAGAGCCTCCTACCAAGTATTGAAACCAGGAGAAAAGAAACATCGTCAACAGATGCAAGGCAAAGAATTTAAACAAGAATCGAACAGAAGGTGGAACCTCAAGCACCGATTGCGTTCCCTAAAATTTATAATGTCATATGTCCTTGGCGGCTATCACAGAAGATTTTTTTGATGTTAGTTCTCCAAGAAAAAATGTAGCTGGAGGTGAGCAAAGGTTTCGCCTCCAAGGATTGCCACCCCACTAAGGTTCGAAACCGGGAGGAAGGAAATACAGTCAGTGGATACGAGGCAAGGAACAAAGATTAGTATTTCCATAGTGTGGGACTAGCTAAATTGAAAGATTGATTGCGTTTTAACAATATCATGCTTCATCACACGCGATAATTTGTGGAAAAAAAATCTTTAAAAAAATACTGGGTGTCAAAAATGATAGACAGTTCTGTTGCAGAATGTTTCCGATTTTTCCATTACAATAACCTATGATTTTGACATTTGTTTTTATTACTATTTTTTTCACTTTGGCAAAGCCGGGCCTTCTTCAGAAACGGCCACTAGTGAATTCCAACCTATTCTGCGCACGTATGCGCACGTTTTATCGAAGCCGCAGCACCGTCCTTTTTGCAAAAGGTCACGGGTGTTTCACCTATGTTCAGCAGTTTTCCGCCTCCTCCATTGGCCTCGCAACTGGTTCCAAACTTAATTACAAAATTTGATAGGTTTGCTTATGTTCAGATATAAAATTTATCTGCACCCTTGTTTCACCAACATTCCATTTAGCACTCTTTACATGTAATTCCCTTGCCTTAGTCAGTTTGTTTTTCACTTTCGGTGCTGCTGTTTTGTGAAACAATGTGGCCCGTGAAACAATGCCACGAGTAGCAATCACAACAATTTGGCCCCACTAGGTCGCAATTTGTTTCATCTGCATGTGCGCGCAAATTCACATCATTTTTTTGGCGAGGCACAAGCAAGGTTCAAAAAACGAATGACGGCAAACATATCAGCAAACTTTTGGCCAAACCCGTGGCCCGTGACAACCGATACAACCGCAACCTTATAATTCAATCATGCTGACAAGGCGGAATGAAATGGGTTGAGATGGTTGAGGATCAGGTTTTTTTATTTTTTTAAAAAAACATCATCTTGCCAGTGTACTTTACGCTGGCATGATTTGCCTTGTCATAGCATTTTATTTTGCATATATGCATGCGAACTCACCAGGAAAAGAACATTAAAAAAAAAAAAACTACACCGCCAAATTTTGTTTGCAAACCTTTGGCGGCAGCAAACTTGGATCAATCAAGTTGGAAGCAGGCGCCGAAACACTTAGAGAATGCAAATTTTTGAAAATGAACCCGTCGCACTCATGAAAAAAAAATCCGGAAACGTGAAAAACGGCAAAAAATCAAAGAAATTTAGAAAACTAGGAGGCGTATGGGAATTCATTGCGTTTCGCAAATGAAAACCGTTACCATTCCTGTTTTTCTAATTTTCCCAAATTTGTCGTTTTATGTTTCCGATTTTTATTGACGGGAAAACCAATAAGAATGAATGGGGGGAAAATAGTAAAAATCATGAGTGTCCGTCCACCTACTTTTTTTTTGAGGTCGATCCGAGTCGATCCTTTTTTTCCTGTCAATTTTTGTGCGCTACCAAGACGCGCCCTTTATTCGAACTTATTTTTTTTGGACAATCGATGGCAATGACGTCGGCGTCCAGGGCACCAGATGGTCGCTTCCAACATCTTCCAACATACCCCCGTAGCAAATAATTTTTTGGCTGGTTTGAGAAGTGAGAAGCTACATCACGGTTTTCTTCGTGCTGGCATCAGCGAGGTGCGACACAGTGGAGCGGATGCATGCACTCAGAGCTTAAGGTTCCACCCTTTCCGTATCCACACTTTTTCTTGCCTTGCGTTTATGATTGTTTTCCGTCGCCGTGTTGAAACACTTGTTCCCGAGAG